TACTCTTGTCTTGCAACAATACAAAGCCTCTAGAGTCGAACAAGAAAAGACATGATAAATTTGTCCCTAATATGTTTTTAAGTAAGATGAAAAGAAGAGAGTAAACATATTTTGCCTTTGCAAAACTTTCTGGCAATAAGACAAACTTTGCTTAGTGTGAGAAATCTGATCATTTAGTGTAATGCTTTCCGGCTTGATTCCTCGGTATGTCCAGTATCTCTGAGTCACTTGTTAGTTCTGATTTTGCAGATTCTTCTGTTTCTTGCTCCTGCTCAACTCGCTTTTTCTCCGCAGCATCGGTCATTACTTTGAGCATTTGTTCTGAAGTATTCGCAATCTTATCCGTTTCTAAAAGCTAAAAGCTGCTCCAACACTCTCCGTTTCTAAAATAAGCCAAAAGACCACCACAAGGTTTGAGATTCAACAAGGCACAGTGAGAAACAGAGTATTATTTTTGTATCACCTGAGATTTGCTCTTCACAGTTTGGAGCATTCTCCATTACTAACACAAGCAAAAACAAATACATAACAAAAGTGTTTTCTTGAATACCAAAAGTGTCTTCTTGAATGCGATTCGTCTTTATCATCAATATCGGTATTAGTCAATGTCTTCATGAATATTAGTGTCTCTTTTCTTCCTCCCATGTCTATGATCTTGTTCTTGAAGTTTTCAGACAGCTCTTCTACTTGTTGTTGTGGCTCGATCTTGGGGCGAAGACAAAGTCGTTTTCTTAAGGGCATAAACTCTTCTACATCAATATCTATATCGGCCGTTGTAGTGATAATCGTTCATTACCACAACGAATTATCAACGATAACATGAATGATCCTCTACAATATCTATATTTATTGTAGAGTTTTTAGTTCATGATAGATTTGAGGTCTCTCCGAAAATATATTTGTATAGTTTTTTTTGGATTTATTAATTTTACTTTATACTACAAACAAAAAAAAAAACGAAAACAAATTGTGTATGTATATCTGTTGATAATTAAAAATAAAAATGAAAACAATTAGCAAGTGCTTATCAACAAGCTTGTTTTGAGATATATGTCTTATATATATTACATACATGAACCTAGGTTTGTTTGTAAAGAGGCTTCGGAAACACAAAACCTTGTGAAGTGAACAAAAAACTATGGGATCTTCTTTATCTCTTGCCGT